CTAAATACAAAATTGAATATTATTGCTAAATATAATTTTACAAACATAAAAATTAATTTTACTACTACTTTTATTACTACTAGAACTACTGCAACTTTTAGCATTACAATGACTTTTTCTGAAAATACGATTACAAGCCTTTTTAGGACACGCACGCGGTTGCAATTTCTTATGACCACGCTTATATAATATGTGTTGAAAACTTAGCCGCGGATTTTTGCACATTTAAAGTTAAGCGCATTAAAAAAATGTTCCAAATAAACAAATGTATAATAAAATTATTTTTTAAAAAACAAACAAACTATAAGCTGTAAAGAAATTCTACAAATCGAAATTACAAACTTTAAAAAAAAAAAAAAAAAAAAACTTAACAAAAGATAAAAAGCAAAAAAAAAACTGTATTTTTTAATGAACATTGCAATTTGTAAATTGATTGCTGGGATGAACTATGATAATTATTATGGTCAATGATACTTTGGAATTATTAAAACGAATGAATTTGTATTATTAAAATGAACTTAAAATTCAAAATAGTCTATGAGATATTTTAATACGAATTTCAACATTGCTTGCGTCGTACTTACGTCACATCAACTCAAAAGTATACGGACGACAAGATCTAAGTTATGATATACATAAACCTTACTTACATGAATTCTTTTTTTTTTCAAAGAGTTTAATATGTTTATGTAAAAAACACAATTTTTCATGACTATGTTTAATGCTTTGTAGGGTCAAGTTTAAGTCTTGCTTTTTTTAAAAAATAGAAAACCAAAACGAAGTTATATTTCTAGCAAAACTACAGTATTGTCAAGAAGTAGTTAATGTTTTAATAAGGTCAAATTGATGACAAGGTTTTTTTTAATGATCTGAATCAGGTACACTTTATAATAAAATATATTTGAATAATTTATCAAATTTTAACAATGCTTATATATATATATATATATATATATATATATATATATATACATATATATATATATATATATATATATATATAAGCATTGTTAAAATTTATATATATATATATATATATATATATATATATATATATATATATATATATATATATATATACATACATATATATATATATATATATATATATATATATATATATATATATATATATATATATATATATATATATATATATATATATATATATATATATATATATATATATATATATATATATATACATATGTATATATATATATACATATATATATATATATATATATATATATATATATATATATATATATATATATATATATATATATATATATATATATATATATATATATATATATATATATATATATATATATATATATATATATATATATATATATATATATATATATATATATATATATATATATACCATTATTGATACAGTTTTAATTGAAAAAAAAAATACAAATAAAATATTATGATTGGAACTTTCTATTAGCCTCTGGTAAATAAATAGATAAATGCAGTTATAGAATCTCAGGTCCGTTTGGCACAACTTTAGTTATGATATACATATTTTTTTTTTTTAAGGATCTGCAATAAATACTCATTGCAAATCAGCAGAAAATTTATAATTCTTCATATTATATAGATTTTTTTAAAATAATTTTATGCACCTATAATTTAATTTTTTGGATTTTTTTTCCTCAAGTATTACGACTACTATAGCTATGAAAAATAATAATGAAAAGCTTTTTATCATTATAAAATTATAGCAATTTGAATTTGCTTTTTTTTTGTAAAATATAGGTAAATAAGCTGTCAAACTAAGTTGATAGTTTTATAAAATTTGTTATATGTAAAATTAGAGTCGAATAAAAATGAAACACAAATTAAATAATATGGGTGTAACTTTTTCCATTTGCACATAAAAGTTACTTTTTAACTGACCATCATTATTTATAGTACTTTTTTAAATGTTCTAGTTAAACAAGTTTAAATGTTCTGTTTAAACAAGTGAAGACTTTTTTAATTATTATTTTTATAACTGTTTTATTAATGAGTCATTTTTGCTTAGGCAAGAAGTTATATTAGTTACGCTATAATGTACTTATATAGTAATTTAATAAGGAAGGATTACTTTTAATTATCTGTGCTTAGGTACAAATTTCAAATTTCAAATAGTTAATTTTAATTTTTAACTTTAACCCTTTTATAAGTCTTTTATATTAAATTTTTTTATAATTCAGTAGAGCATTTTTCTTGAAAAAATAACCTAATTTAAATCTAATTTAATTATTAATCCTTAAAACAGAAATAGTTCAATTAATTTGATTAAAATAAGATGTTCTACTGTTAACTAAAGCCAGTTTATCAAAACCGGCTATTCTAACCGAGTGCCGAGTAATGTTCTAAGTAAAACCTGCTAATACAGATGATTGTCGAATAAAAATTTAAGAAAAAATAAAACTCCTACTAAGTCTAATTAAAACTTGCTAATAACTTTACTACTAAGTTTAGTATTAGTAATTAGTAGGATTAGTCGGATATTTTTATCCTTGAGTAGTATTACTAATCCTACTACGACTGTCAAAATTGACGTTAATTAACGTTACAAACGTACTATTGCTATTATATTTAACATTAAATATATATTGTAAATTTATTTAAAAAAAGCAAGCTTGAAATTTATTTGCAAAATAAACAAATTTTATTGCCAGTAGTTTGAAAAAAAAAATCGAAGACAAAAAAAAGTGAATAAAACAACGTTTATGAAAGTTTATTGCATTTACATTTGTTTTGGTTAGCTAAACGTTTCTCAATTAAAGGTTCTAAATATTTAAAACAGTTTCGCGCAATTTCTCCTTGAAACTCATACAGGACATTAATGCCGTTTTTAAGTATTGCATTTAGTAAGATACTATCATCATCATTGAACTTTGATTGTTTAATAATTAATTTTAAGGAGTTTCTTAAAACTAGTTCATCATTAGCAACACCTAAATGCACTTTTAAATATAATACCTAAATATAAAATTCCTTCAGTAAACGATTATTACTAAGTTATTTAACTGCTTTGCCACGGTTAGCACAGATCCTGATAATGCTCTCATAGCTGACCCAAAAACGCCACTTTAATAGAGTGATATGGTACATATGAGGGTAACTTGCGTTGCATTTTTTGAAATTTTAATGGGCGGAAAATAACTTCATTTGAATATTCATATAAACAAAAATTTAGGCTTTTCAGTGCGACGATAAAACACATGTAGAAAGGGAAACACTACATTTTTAGTCGGATTGTTTAAATGGTTAAAGATTTATGATTTTTATATTTTGAAGTTTATATTTTGTTAGTTTTTTTTTGCTACTTAGATCTCAAAACGTTACCGATTAAATAATATTTAATCACTATTTTTAAAATAAAGATTACATAAGTGATCATCAATGTGATGCTAAAGAATTTTATTAATATTGCGTACAGTTTTGGTACTACAGAAAAAAATAATTGACTGATAAATTGACTGATGACTGATCTCATCATTTTACTACAGTATAAACTGCTGCCAAAATCGAAAATATGTAAAAATGTGAAAAATCTAAGAAAAAAGTTTAATTTAACTTTTCTTAGTCCCTTCGTAAACCATTGACTTTTGAAACGAAAAAAAAAACAACTATATAAACCCTAATTTTTACACTATATTACCATCAACTAACATTTGATTAAACTGTAAGACTTGGACTTTAATTTTCTCCGCAAAAAATATAATCAAAGCAGCCCAATATATATTTTTTGTCAATGTTTAAGCAACATTGTTTAGTTAATTAATGATTAAAATAGTTATAATGTTCATTATATATTGTAGGCTATGATATATTGTACCTAATGTAATAAATCGAGATATGGTAGCTGTCCTTTGAAGATGCTTACTGTTCAGATGTCAATCGCAAAGATTATCCAAAGGATATTCTTTACGATTGACATCTTTGATGTGGTAGAAAACGGTGTGAATTTTGGGTATTGCGCTTGCACCAGTTATCTTTAAGAAACACTTTTTGAAATTATTTTAAGAAAATCCGACTAAAGGATAAATCCAAAGAAAACACATTACAACGAAATTGAAACTTTTGAATGCTTCAATTACATGAAGAATATTGGAAAACAAGTTTGTATCAGCAAGTTGCTGGAGTACAAGTGATGAGTTTGCTGATGAAAGTACGTCGGGGTATAGTGATAAGGCAAAATATTCTTTTCTTTGAGCCACGGCAATGTAGATTTTACTTATATATTACGGCATGGTATTCTTTTTTTTAATGACAAACAAATAATAAATAAAGGAAAAGTGCATCCACATTTTTAGGAATCTTCCTGAATTCATTTTCCTCGAACCGGCCCTCATGATATGGGATTTTAATTTGGAGAGCTATTAGTAATTAAACAGCTTCTATCGAAGCAGTTTTAAGTATATTGAAATAATGATTGACAACTTATATAAGGAGATGCAATTCCATCGGCTTGATTTTTTCCAAAGTTTGGATATTTTAGACTCACTGATAACTGACTCTCGAATGACACTGCCATACAACTTTGCACGAGCAACAACTACCCAAAATTGCTAAAAAGACTTGAGGCTATTTCCACAATTTTGAAGGATACACCGGGATTGAAGACCACAAATTATATTTGCAGCTTTTACATTATAAGCCAAAATAGGTTTAACACCATTAGAATTAATCATTAGTTAGATTTATTTTTGTTTAAAAGTTTTAAATTATTTGCTTTTAAAGTGACAGAAACTTGTTTAAAGTATGTTTTTTTAAACTATTCTTGTTAATTTTTTTGAATTTTTAAAATATATAAGTAAAAATTATTTAATTATAAATATTTAGTTGTAGCAATTGCAAGTTGATAGTGTTGTTTTGTTGTATACAAAATTGACAGTAAAAATATAATCCTGCCATTAGCAGGATCCGTGCTAATCGCTTAGTATCTAACTTATTTGATGTATTTTTTTCTAACTCTTTCTGATTTTTTT